TAATATTATTTTTTCTCGAATCGCCTTTCAAGTCGTTTTCGATCGTATAAATTTCCAATTCTAACGAGACGTCAAGCCATAAGCAATTCTTTGTTGCAGAAATTACGAAAGCCGAGGAATTCCTAATTGAAGAGAATCACGGCCACGGACTGCTGATGTTTAATGCACCATATTCCATGGATGATCAAACACCAGGCTGTTACCACATATGCTATTGGTTGTTAACAATTTTGACATTAAGTTAAGCATGGCCGTGCCGACTGAAATGCAAGAGATGCAGTACTGCGTCGTCATTTCCTACAGTAAGGAAGGATATCTGTAATTCACTACCCATTACTAACATTCGATAGTCTGGCTTATACGAAAAATAATGGCTGTGTTTGTTGTTGCGAAATTTGCAAGAAAATTCTGCGACGAATACGTTTCTCTACTCGACCCACCTTCCCACCTATTGTGAGAATCTTAGTACTTCTTCCATCCATTTCGTTTCCTCGCATCCATCACACACGAAGTTTCTCGAATTGACTTCTTTATGATTGTCCTTGAATGCTGGATGTTCAGTGGATTGTCTCTGGAGACGTGGATTAGCCAGGCTACAGCGTTCTGTCTAAGATCACCAGGAGTGAATTGTTTCGCAAAGGAGTCTTATAGCAAGTTACTCTGATCGTAGTGATAGGGTGTTCGCTCAGCATGGCGCGGGGTCGAGCCAAGCACTGTGTTCGTGAAGAACGGAATCTCTACCATTGTGCTACCCTTCCCTGCACAGCACTTTAAAGCTTATTTTTAACCTAACAAGCGTGCAGCAGTAAGGGCGGTGTCAAGTTGGTAGTAGAAGCTTCCCTCCAAAAACGTCTTGAGGAGTTGTCGTTGAAAATTCATGATGCAACAGTCGTTCGTCATATGGTAGGCGCTAAAAAACCGATGGATCTACAGGCGAATTTAATGCAGGTTGCTCAATGTTCATCGCTTAAGTCAATATACCAGTTGGAAACGCCCTGCATATAGCCAAACGATAAAGCTCTCGGCGTTGATCAATCCCAGAGAGATGCACCATGCATTCGGCTTCACTAAGCATCGTTTGGAGGTGATTGAATGTATATCCCGCCTTTGCAATGACTCGCGGTGGCCTACCGATGTATAAAGCCAGCGCTACTATCATCCCAGACAAGTCTGGTACCAACTTGCCGACCCCGGAGGGTTGAAACTATTCAAGCGCATTAAATTCAGTTTAAACTGAATTCGTTGTGAAATATAACTTCAGTGATGCTGAGATATTTGCAAAACCCCGGACCGCAGGTGTATGCGGTGGGAACGAACGCGCTATTGCCCTTTCCGGGGAGTAGCGCGTTCACCACCACACCACGCGGCTCCTTCGTTTCGCCTGTCTCTCAGTTGCCTCTTGCTGTCTCTTTTCGCCCGCTAAAACGAGTAGGCAGTAAATAATAAGTTAAAATTGTGATTATAATTGCGGGTCTCAGCTTAATTGGGTTCGTTGCCGATTTGGGCCCCTCAGATCAATCCCGCTGACGGGTGATTGCTGTTGGCAAAAGATTGATAGAACTAGCTGAGAGAGAGGCGAAACGAAGGACCCGCATGGTGTGGTGGTGAACGCGCTACTCCCCGGAAAGGACAATAGCGCGTTCGTTCCCTACCGCATACACCTGAGGTCCGGAGTTTTGCAAATATCTCAGCATCATTGAAGTTATATTTCACAATGTATACCCTGCCGTTAAAAAGAGTAGGCAGTAAATAATAAGTTAAAATTGAATTCGTTGTATTCCTGAAATGTCTGATTTCGATTATGCGGAAGACGAAGATTTCAGATAGAAATTTCGACCACCGACTTTCTATTAACCTTGACATTGATTGAAGAATTATTTGTATTCTTGTTTAGTGAACACCAGGTGCACAAGCTGACGTTTCGGCGGATTTCGCCCTCCTCAGAGCCTGGAAAGGTCATGTTGACGGCAATCCACCCACCAAAAGACCTCCATAACCAATAAGAAAATGGTAAACCAAGATTGCAATCGCATTGCACACAGAATAGTTTCTTTGCACACTCACCACTTTCTATGAGGCTTCCAGTGAATATGTGAGTGAAGTAGAAAGCGGTGAAAAGAACCTATTCTCTGTCCAATGTGATTGACATCTTATTTTAGCATTTTGTCTGTTTGTTTATGGAGGTATTTGCCTGGATAGATTGCAGTCAACTTGACCTTTCCCGGCTCTGAGGAAGGCGAAATCAGCCGAAACGTCAACTTGTGCCTAAATGGAGAAATTAAATAACACCTCGTGTTCGCTAAACAGGAACATAAAGAATTTCGGATAGAGTACTGTAATACCCGAAATTCTTTATATTCTTGATATCTATACATAGGCGCGCATGTGGCAGAGTGGTCGGAGGCGGCCTACAATAGACGTGGAGTCGACCCCCACGCCATGGCTCACCAAGCCTTCCATCCCTCCGAGGTCGGCAAATCGGTACCAGACTTGTCTGGGAGGATAGCAGCACTGGTTCATTACATCGGTAGGCCACAGCAAGTCATTGTAAAGGAAAGATATGCTTTCAATCATCTCCAAATGTTGCTTAATGAGGTCGAATGTATGGCGCATCCCTCAGCGATTGATCAATGCCGGGAGCTTTATCCTTTACTTTACTGTAACATGGTTTTAATAATCAACAGCAGACTTCGACCAATTTGTAATGTTTGCGCTATGAAACTTGGTGGGTGGTGCGGAGAGGCGAATTAGACAAAGATGACAAGAAAATCAAAATGAAAGTTTCCATGTGGATTCCTGCAATACTTCGTGATGATTGAACAGTCATGAATTGTACAGATCAAATTATGTTTAGAGTGGGGAGAATAACAGCGGGAATACCCCATTTCCCAGAATGGAAAAGTCTAGCGAAACCCTTGACATGAATCGAAGCCATAGAATTTCTTATTTTGCACTGAAATCATAAATTTGCTTTGCAAATCCATTTGCTTTGCAAATCCATTTGCTTGGATTTACAAACCAGAGGAGCATGAATAGTTAGAATCTCAATGTTATCTTTTGATTTACTGCCAATTACAATTTTTCAAGGCAAGGTATTACGTCTGATGCAATCACAATGATGCTGAGATATAACTCGCATGTAATGCTGAGATATTTGCAAAACTCCGGACCGCAGGTGTATGCGGTGGGGAACGAACACGCGCTGGTCCTTACCGGGGAGCAGCGCACTTCACCACTACACCATCCGGGTCCTTCGCTTTGCATGTCTCTCAGCTAGTTCTATCCATCTTTTTGCCATCAGCAATCACCCGTCAACGGGATTGATCTGGGGAGCCCAAATCGGCATTGAACCCAGTTAAGCTGAAACTTAGTTATAATCACAATCTTAACCCTTTTATTTACTGCCTTTTTCTTCTTAATGGCAGAGTATGTTGCGAAATATAACTCGTATGTAATGCTGAGATATTTGCAAAACTCCGGACCGTAGGTGTTTGCGGTGGGGAATGAACGCGCTAATACCGTTTCCGGTGGCGAACGTGTTCACCACCGCATCAAGCTGGTTCTTCGTTTCGCCTGTCTATCAGCTAGTTTTTGTCTTACAGTGCCATCAACCATAACCTGCCAACGAGATTGATGTGGGGAACCCAAACCGACAATGAACCCGGTTAACCTGAGTCTGCAGTCGAAATCGCAATAGTAGCATTTTATTGACTACCTATTTCACTTTTTCAAGGCAAGATATTATGCCTGCTGTAACCACAATGATGACGAGATATTTGCAGAACTCGGGATCGCAGGCGTCTGTCGTGGGGAACGAAGACGCTATTAGTTAGGATCTGATCAGTCGTTCTACGTCTGTATACGTACTGTATACATATATCCAAAAATTCATGCCAGATTTTTCCGACAGAATAAAGACCCGAGTTGGAATATTGGAAGAGCTCTGAACTTCGTTGTGTATGCGAAGTATATGCATTCATTCCGCGTTACGATGCTACGAATGCCTTACAATGCATGCCATACCACACAGAGATTCATCAACACCGGACACCTTATCGCTTATCCTTTAGTTATAAACAATTTGCAGATGAAATAGCTAAAAAGCAGCAGTTCGCGCTCGTTAGCACTTCAGACTGGGCGCCATTGGTCCGCATCCAGCGAACCCAGCGGACGCATTGATTATTCTTCCAGACAGAAGAAAGCCGAAAATCCAGACGATCGTCGGCCCGGGCATCCTCGTCCCGTCAAGGCTTCCGTTTCTTCCTTTCCTACCTTGGCTTTCTCGATATTTATAATTTCGTCCACTTGAACTAAAAAAGCTTGTTTCTTCAACACGAATCATCCGTTTCTCACCTTCAAAGCCGTACTCGTCTAGGATCATCTTTCAACCCAAGGAAGCTTTTGCTTTCTACTTCGATTACCAAGTTCGTAGCTGGTTTTTGGCTGTCCAGTTTTTCCTCAGCATATTCTACTTCGCATGTCGTCTTGCCCTCTTTTGTCTTTCCTTTTTTTTTTCTTTTTCTTTCTAAGGTTAGTACCTGGTTGACAATCAATCCCAACAATTGTCCTGGACTCTTCCTATCTCTATCAAGCAAATGACCGTCGATTCTTTCCTGAGCGGCCAATTAACCATTCCTAATCTTCTCCTGGTATAGAAATCCCATACGAGCTCATTTATTAAGTTGTTATCGTGCTGGTCCTACTTTTCCTTCTAAACTTAAGACACTTTATACCGTTTTCGGTTCTTTAATGTCCCATCAATGTATGTTATATGCTCCATATCGGCCATAGTGGCTCATCCTGCAACAACCATCGCCACTCGATAGACAAGCCTTCGAACTTTTTCAATTCATCCTTTGTTAGGGGTTTTTTTGTCGTCGTATATTTCATATTTCTCGCCTTACCATCTCTTCAAAACCTCCTCATGTCTCCTTTAAGTTGATGAATTCCATATAAATGGGCTACTTCATGTCGCGGAGCGGGTCCTGTTACCAACTCAGATGAACAGCTTATTAGTATTGCAGACCCTAAATGGTAAGATGGCTAGTTATTGTTCCAGTTTTCATTTACTTTTATTTGACCAACAGCACTAGTCAATATCTTCTATGGGTGGTTCTTTCAGCTCTGATCGTCGGTTTTCATTGCTTTGACATTGTGGCTCGGACTCAGCACGGAATCTCACTGTTATCGGTGAATGATGTGACCTTAGAAGCCGAAACCACCCTACTTGTTCCGTCAATACCACAGGAGTTATCTGTTTTACTAGCGGTCGATACCACTGTAAGACTAAGATATCTTTTGTTTTCCGTTTTCGCCGTCATAAAATATGGAATAAATCAAAAGTTAAAGGGAACATGTTACTACACTTTACATAATCACCTATATTCCTTATCGCTCGAAAACCATACGTCGATTAATCTTGGCAGAATTGGATATGGTCTCGAAGAATCACCCACATCGATCGCTTTCGACTGGATCACTTATAAGGTGGATTTTTAATGTTTTCCCTTATGTCCTCTTCTTTTCAACCTAAGCAACTGCGACGTTTTATTGCAATGAATCTTCCTTAATTCCTGTTGCTTTAAGTCTTTTTTAAATTTCAGATATTTGTTTCACTTTCTGGTGTTGGTCATGATAGTTCGGCTAAAGTATATGCCTGTAGTTTGACAGATGCGACGAACTGTACCATAGTTATCCATGAGAACCTCGACTATCTGCATTCACTTTGTTTAGACGGTCTGGACGGGTAAATTCTTTAAATTTTTGTAATAAATCGTTTGAAAGTCGGAATCAGTCGCTAAGAAAAGCTGGTCATGTGGACTTTTTGTTATTTTTCATTAGGTTGCAGGAGAATTGCCTCTATGATCCAAACGGGTTATTCATTATTCAGTTATTCAAATGTATTTTCTCTGATCGATGTTTCGAACCAGAGTAGACATTCACATGTGGAAGAGCAAACTCTTAAGTTCAGCAAATGAGAGATTTCTGGAGTAACTTTGAGTTCATCACTTCACAATTGGTTTAGGAAAGATGACAGCACACATGCTGGAGTCTGACCGCAAACTAACTTCTCTTTGTGTCTCAGTTCCTCGGGAAAGAGTTCCTAAAGATAACAATGGTCAACCTGTTGGGAACTCCCTATGATGCTTGTTGAATGTGTTTTACTTCAGGAACATGTATTGGTTGAATGGCATCACAAATTGTATAGAGAAGTCTTTTATGAATGGAAAACATCACGATAAACATCCATATAGTGTAAGTGAAAGATTTTCCATCAATACGTGAATGATTGAAGTATTACCTTCCCTAATAAGGTTTCATTTCTTACCTAGTCCTCCATGTGTCCATGTATGTCTTCAGGTTTTCAGGATCATGCCTTTAGTTTATCCAGAGATGCAACGTACTCTTCACTTACTCTCGATCTCCCTTCAAGGCGAATTTACTTTGTCCGAACACGGACAGAATCGTCTCAGATTTGGTACTGCGAATTGTATCATCGTGACTCGTGCTCTCAAGTATACGAAACAGTCCCTATTCAGTTTCTTTCGGTTTCCAAGGTTACTGTTAAACTCTTTTTTTCAGTGGGCAATGTTATTTACCTAGTCTTAGCTTACCATTTTTCAGTCTCGTTTTGTATGGTCTACTTTGCATTCTGGTGAAGTGGTTGTCTGTGAGAAGTCGAGCTGCAGCACTACTTACAGAACGATCGACAATGTCCGTGGTGTAGAGTCTTTGGCAGTACTTGATCCTTCTATGCAACCTAAAAGTATGTTTCATCAATGTGTCTACTTCTTTTGTCTATAAATGTGAAGCCGTTAGTTGTCGTGAACAATTGTTCTAAGCTTAGTCCGGAAAGCCACAATTAATGCAAAGGAAAGAGATAGGGATATTTCTGACCTTTTACTAATTTTAAACATAATATTTTGATATGAGAAGATTGGAGCAGTTAAAGTGTTGACTTTCTTATCGAAATTATGAATTATCATTGCATTAAACTGAGCTTTTTGACAAAAATTCACTGAGCAAAGTGAAAGTATCGCTCCTGAATTCGTATTAGTAACGTTGATGGCGCGTATAGCGCAGTAGTGGGAGGCGCCCTGCAACACACACATAGGATCGATCCCCGCACTCTTGGCTCACCAAGCCTACCATCCCATCAGAGTCGGCAAATTGGTACCATACTTATCTAGGAGGATAACAGCACTGGCTCGATACATCACTAGGCCACCGCGGGTCATTGTAAAGGCCAGATATGCATTTTATCACCTCCAACGATGCTTAATGAAGTCAAACATATTGTTCATTCTGTCTATTCCTTAGTGATTGATCAACGCCAAGAGCTTTATCCTTTTACTCTTTTTAATCCGTTTTCTGTCTTAGACGTTGAATTTTGATGCGTAAAGGATGCAAAGATATTGATGGCTTCAAATTTTAAGCGAACATGATCCTCGTATAGTGAAATCTTTTCATTCATATAGAGTTTACTATATTCTGCGTATGTCTGACAACCAAGCAAAGGTTTCCTGCCTTGTTAGAACGGGACTTAAGCCCATGAAACATATTTTTTTCGCTTTTTTCTTTTGTTATTTCTTCAAACATGTTAGGGTCTCACAACGGGTCGTTGATGTTTGTCTGTTCAAGGTTTGTGTATGGAGTTTCTTTTAGTTTTTTGAAACGTTAGTAACTTTAATAGAAATTTGGGATTGGAAGAATGTCATGCAAACGTTAGATACTACATTTAAAGCAATGCGGTAAAGTGTTTTCCGTGAGTTCGGAGTTGTCAACAACTTCGTTGCGCCAGAACTGTTGCCATTTTTTGGAAAAGTGACGTATTGGCTCCACGTTTCTGACCATAGATGGGGTTTACTTGTTTAGGGACCAATCCTAATCCATGCTCAGAAGGCAATGGTGGTTGCTCTCACTTCTGCTTGTTGTTGAACTTTCATCCATGGTCGCAGTGCTCCTGTCCAGTCGGAATCAAATTGCTGGCCGATGGAAAAACATGCAATCCATTAGGAATTGATAAGGTTCTTTCCGAACTCGTTTTTATCTTTTTAGGCGCTGTCACTAATCCCTCTATATCATAGTTGGTTTCCTCACAGGTTTTTTTTAAAATCTTATTCAGGTCTTATTTATTTCGGCTGTTAGCGGGATCTACTATATTTCCCTTGATACCAGTGATTTCACTCCAAGACAAGTCTTATATGAAGTGGGTCTTTTGCTTTTTCCTCTTAACCAGCTAATCCTTATCCCTAGTCTCTTCTTTTATGCATTTAGGGCCTAAGTCATGATGGATTCACTCATAAATTTTACGATATTGATTTCGATCCCGTGGAAAAAAAGATCTACTGGGTCGATGCGAGTATGGGAAAGATTCGAAGGTGTTCCATCGACGGCTCAGACGCCGAGGTATCTTGCAGACTTTACATATCTCCTTTGTTTGTCCATTCCACTACTCTTCAGGATATCCTTTCCATCCCCACCTCTGTGCGAGTTTTTCGTCTTGACTATTTGGCAAGGAATATATACTGGATTGATAGCGTTCAGAACAGGATTTTTGTGAGTTGGCGTAGTTTTTGCAAGTTCTGCAACTATTAATTTGTATTAACATTTTAGGTAACAAGAATCGGTACTATTTACACACGATTCATTGTTGTCCATGGAGTTAGTAGTCTTCAGACGTTGACTCTAGATCTGCAGAATCGTCATATTTACTTTATTGGTGGGTATAGTTTTGCCTTAAAATTAGAGGTTCTGATTGTTCTGTTTGACTGACCGTTCTAGATAGTACTGGCGTGGAATTTCGAATTGAACGTTGCGATCTTGATGGAATGAATCGAAGAAAAATAGTACGTTACCAATGAACTAAGTTGTATTTGCTTCTGAATATTTCAGTACAAATCGTTATTTTTTGCACAATACTGGCTTAATATAGTTGGATATTTGGATGGTCCTACCTCACTGGATTTGCGGTCCTCAGCAAAATTTCCATTTTTTCGGAGTTTTGCTGGCACAGCCATTGTGGTTCCCTCCCGAGGTTAGTCTAGCCAAAGACTGCCTCAGGTAGTCACCACCACGGGCAGACGTCTCCCTTGTGGATCAGACGGAGATTTGCCTCCATTGCGACTAGTTTGATATCGGGACGGTGGTGGATCCTGGTATTGGTTTACTCTTAGCTGGGTTTCCTGAAGGAAACCCCAGACTCCTTGTCATCTTCGGGGGCCTTGATGAAAGGATGAATCCTCCCGCTGTACATCGAATCCCGGCACGCTGGACCCCCTCCCAGCTACGGTAAAGCGGGAAATTGTCGGGAGGAGTGGCTTAATACAATAAACATACATTAGATTGGAATAAGTTTAACAAGTTGTTTTTGTGTGCCCGACTTTAAATCGCTTTGACTCTTTCCCTAATATCTGTAGGATTGAATTTTACCGACATTATTCGCAAAGTTTCTTTCGGCCCTGTTTAGATGATTATTGACCAATATGCGTCGCCTAACGGTATCGTCGTTGATCCTCAGAGCAGTCGCTTTTATTGGACTGAAGGAAATTACTCCGTTATAAAGGTAAGCTCTTGGTCATATTATTCTTAACTTTATGCCTGTTTTGTCATCCTCTCCTCTACTTTCAGACGGCGTTTTTGAACGAGACTCAGCCGAAGCTTGTTGGCCCTCTTCTCAAGTTGTCGCAGCCTTATTCAATCTCGATTTTAGGTTGAATATGTCCAATCTTTCGTGGGAAACATTGATTCCTTTCATTTTTATTCGTTAAGAAGTTTTTTAGATCAGGAATTGTATTGTAATTCTCTTGCTGGTCGAACGGTGATGCGTATCTCAACGAAATCCGTAGGTGGTAAGTTCGTCAACTTCTTCTTGCTAGCTTGTAATGTCACTATTCTTCTTCTACTGCGCATGTTAGTTTATTTATTTTTTATCATTAAGTATTTACCGCCGATGCTATTGAATCGTCGATTTATGGACCGATTGGGTTAGTGGCAGTTTCTCTCCACTCAACAGTTTTGCATGTTAGTACCTGTTCAGACACCAAGTGTTCGCACTTGTGCATTCTTAGGTAAACATTTTTTAGCGATTTTAGTTTTCATCGTAGTAATTTATGAATTCGTGGAGTTGTTGTTTTACAGTGTCCCACTTGCACAAGGTTGTTATCAAATTCTTTCCCAGTTAATGTTTCGGCATCTTTGCTTTCTTCAGATAGGGTATGATTCCAATCGATTTTTCACAGCCGCCCTTCGTTTCGATTCGGGTCTTGGTAGTTAGATTGAGTCTAATCTTCTTGATAGTAGCACAATTCTGATGTTATAACCTCATTCGGCAGTGCTCTTTTTATGCAGGACGGTTGCTGCTTGACTGGTCATCCGTTGATAGTAATGTTAACATCCTATGTTATTGTAATAGTCAGCAATGGACAATCAGTCAGCAACCGTCCTGTATGGGAGGGTACTACCGACTAAGGTTAATTCGTTGCTGTTGTGCTCCACTCTAGAAGATTTAAGCTTGACATTACTGCGAAAATCCGTCTCGCAAGACAGGCAAATGTGGATGGTCGAACCGTTAGTCTAATTAAGTGTTATACCAGCCTCGTGTTCTGTTCGTTTCGATCTCTGACGAGCGTTCATGGAGGTGCCCTGTTTTTCTAAGGGGTCTTCAAATATCATTCCGTTATTTATAGCTTTTATCCACCTACCAATACGAGTGGTTGATAAACGCATTGACCCAACTTTAGATGGCCTATCTGAAGAACGCTTACATCCTGTTCCGTTTACTCTATCATGATTGTCTTCCACTCTTTTTACCACATGGCCGGTCTAATTATGCTACTCTTTGTATCTTTCTCCACGTTTTAAAGGATCTACTGGAAGTGCCGAAGTCGACCATGTGGTTTTTTTCTCTCCCTCTGTCCTTCAACTTTTCCTCGCTTAAGTTGTTATTCGTCTTCAATCCCATCACAAGGTACATGTAAGATGTAGTCTTGTGAGGCGAAGAACCTTACATTTCTATTCGTTTCCCATCTTCCATTATGTTTTTTATGAACCGGCCTTATTTCACGTTTACTTCGATCACTTGCTTTCCAAGGCTGCTATTTGAGAATCGTATCCGTTTAATTGTGCTTCTCAAGAAGTAGAGATTTCTACTGATACTTATTCCTGTTTTATCTCTGTTAAGTGTGCTAGAGTACAGCAATGTTCTTATGTGCAAAGAGTCGCTCTTAGACTGACAGACACCTTTTTCTTAACTAAGGGAAGTCAAGACAAAGAGTCATTTCAACAGGGTTTGAACTTAACAACGTAGCGTTTAGAAATATGACATAGGGCATCTGTATATCGATTCTATATCATTTACAGAGATCGATAAAGAAATTGGTAGTTGTTCTATTCGGAAAATGAATTTGTGTAGAACAGAGGAGCCGCCAACATTTGCACAACGGTGATTTTTTTCTGTCCTAATGGGCTTTCGATCGATCTCTTAATGTGTCTGGGACCAATTTTTAGAAGAACTTTTTCTATGAGTTAACGAAAAAACATTTTAGTGTCTATCTATCTATCTATCTATCTATCTATCTATCTATCTATCTATCTATCTATCTATAGTAAAGGTTTGTGCTCCACAAGACTAATCGTTTAAGGTTACTGTATGTTTATCTCTACGATTACTTTGTGAAGTCGAAAGACAGTGATCTAAAACATTGCTTTTCGACCTATTTTTTCAACTAATAATCCTTTTAGTGCTGACGGAGAGCCAAAATGCAAATGTTCGACAGGATTCGAACTCATGTATGACGGACGAACGTGTAGCAAACCTTCGGCATACTTCGTTTTACTTCAGGATGGTGTCAGAGATATTTCCAGGGTGTCCTTAAATATGTTGGTTTCCTCGCTTTATTTTCTAACTCCCTCCTATGTTCTGCTTTTGTCTGCTTTTACAGGCCAATGACTTTTGATTCACTGGGCATACTGAATGTAACTGATCCTCCAAGTACTGCTGATATTGACCAGGTTAGAGTGGAAACAGTCTTGTGGACATTTTAGTATTTTAAATGTATTCTTTAGCGCGGTAAATATATAGTATACGGTTACTCGTCGTCATCTATGGGTTATATCAGACGAGTATCGCTTACTGAAGCGGTTGTTTCGGAGACTGTTATCGACGATCCTACTCTTATTGGTATGCATTCTCTGTCTGTGGATTGGATGTCAAGAAATATATATTGGTGAGAGAGACTTCTTGTTCACTTAGCGAACGAGCTTTTCTTTTCTTTCTGTTTAAACAGTTTTAAACTGCAGTAGGAAGTAGAGCTCTTGGGAAGTTTCTGATTTCGTGAAAGTTAGGGCATTATAGTGGTGTTAAATTTCCTGTAATTCTAATGAGATTGTTTTGGTGCAAACAATGCAGCAGGTACGCCAAGTAGGTTAAGTGACTGGTACTCGACGTACTTATACATCCCGTTTTCGAAAGTACTCAATTTGGAAATCTTTCCTTCACTTTTCTCAAGTTTCAACTCAGCGCCGAGTGATTTCGTACTTGCAAATTATTTACAAAGTCCAAATTCATCAAACTTTTCCTTGGTACAAGCATACACGAAATTCATGTGCTTTATTACTTTATTTCTTCGTCAAGTTTAGGTCGAATCCTGTTCGGGGTCGCATTGAAGTTTGCGATCATAGTGGAAGATATCGGCGAACATTAGCGTCAGAGTCAATCCGTCCTACCTCACTGATTGTTCACCCTGTTGTTGGATCGGTTTTCTTTGTTAATGAGCAAAGCAACGTTACAATTAAGGTAATTTTTCTATTTTCTTGACTGCATCACCCCTATTTTACATACGTTTTACATTTTTACTTCTTACACACCATTTTCTAGCGTGTGGCTCTCATCGGTGACAAATTTGGTGGAGTTGACATTGTAGGGGACTTGACTGATGTCCGTTCTCTTGCTATTGACTTCAGGAAGGACATGATATATTGGACAGAATTTGATGGTTCTGTTGCTCGTATATCAGCATCAAGACTAACTGGTCTGTTATAGTAAAACTTTTGCTGAGTTATTACTCCCTCTCGTGAGGACGCGCGTAGCGCAGTGGTCAGAAGCGCCGTACAATACACATGGGATCGACATCCGCATTCGAATCTCACCAAGCCTTCAATCCTTCCGGGGTCGGCAAATTGATACCAGGCTTGTCTGGGAGGATAGTAGCACTGGGTTTATACATCGGTAGGCCACCGCGAGTCATTGCATAGGTAGGATATACATTCAATCACCTCCAAGTGATGCTTAATGAAATCGAATGCATGGAGCATCCCTCAGGGAATGATCAATACCGAAAGCTTTTTTTTATTACTCTCTCGGACTAGCAATTTTAAATGTGGTGAAAACTACCACGCAGTGGATGATTTTGTTTAAGGTGCTTATCGAGAGTTGCTGTACGTAGGAAGGGATGTTACTCCATACCGGCTTTTCCACTTCGATGAAAGATTGTACTATTCTGATGACAAGCGTAGTTCAATTGGCTACTATAACGGAAGGGAGCTTGTTACTCTGCACAGTAATGTGTCAAATGTTTCCGGTCTTCTTATTTTCCATGGACGTTTCTTAAATGGTGGGTTTAGCTGTCTGTTTCTAGAATTCTCAGTCATAACTGTGTGTTTCAGATTCAAGCCCGTGTATGTACGAGCAGTTTGACTGCCCGCAGTTGTGTTTCACCACCTCACGAACAGAACATACGTGTCTTTGTTCTGATCATTTTACATTTGACCAGTATTCACTTACTTGCAAGGGTTAGTTTTCGTTCTAAGGCTAAAAGAAATTGTACCGTAACATTCCCTTTTCAGCTCCAGAAAATATAATTGTATCGGGCAGTCAAGATGGCTTCGTTGTGATGAATTTACGACGTTTGGCTGATCAGACTATGTCCTATCACGAGGTCCATTTGATTCACAAACTTGTTGTCAAAGTATTTCTTCGCTGTTTGCTCTTAAATCGTCAATTAGAAGTACTTATTGGCCATTCGGACCCAGTAATCGGAGGCGTCTTGCAATACACATGGTATAGATTCCGCCGCCGTAAGCCCATCAAGCTTTCCATCCCTTCGTGGTCGGTAAATTGGTAGAAGACTTGTGTGAGAGGATAGTAGCACTGGCTCGATACATCGGTTGGCCACCGCTACTCATTGTAAAGGCCAGATATGCATTCAGTCACCTCCAAAGACACTTAATGGACTTGGAATGCACGACCATCACTCAAGCATCGATCAACGCCGAGAGCTCAATCCTTTTTCGTTTATTGGGCATCCGAGACACAAGGTGGAGCGTCGCTACTTGTTGTTCACTTAATGTAAATGCAGTAGTGGAGGCTCATAGTTAACAGAAACTGCCTTTCTCTCCGTAAGGTTTCAACAAAAGAATTTGAACAAAGTGAAAGTGAAGCAAAATTGGGAAAACAAAATTCTCAGGGAGTTTTGAGAATTATACGGATTACCGCACCCTTTGGATCACCTAATCGTACACCCACATCAATTTTTTTGCTTGTTTTTTGATTATCTGTTGATTGAAATTTACCCATTACTTCAGTGATGGTCTAACTACTGTCAACTTTTATCGTAGAAATGTACACTTTTTCAATTAGGACCCCATCGTCGAATTCGCTCTATCATCCGTTGGAATTCCTCACTCCATTGCAGTGGACACGTCAACTCGACTAATTTTTTGGATTGATGCCAAAGATCCAACGAAAATCAAGTTCTCACGTCTTGCATTTCCTGCCAATGTACGTGTATTACTTCTATATCTCTTCTCTTCTTATGTGCAGGTTTTCATGAGTTACAGGTTATGAAGAATGTCGCCGAAATCATCTTGAATATCTGTTCAGACGTTCATCTTTGCTGATCGTCACAACTGCTCCACGTTTTACTCATTAGCGATGGACGAGAATGGTCGCGTTCTTTATGCATCGTGCTATTCGAAAGCTGGTATAGGCTATGTGTATGCATATAGGATGCAGGTAATGAGAGTGGAGGGAGTTTATAATTGACTTCTTTGATACTATGTCGCGAATGTAAGGGCGCGTGTAGCTCAGTTTTCGGAGGCTCCCTGCAATACAGATGCGGTCGATCCTCGCGCCAAAAACTCACTATGCCATCCATCCCTCTGTGGTCGGCATATTGGTACCAAACTTATCTGGGAAGATATCAGAACAGGCTGGATACAATGGTAGACCACTGCGAGTTATTATAAGGGCCAGACATGCATCGAATCACTTCCAACGATGTATAATGGAGTCGAATGCGTGGCACATTCCTCAGAAACTGGTCAACGCCGAGAGTTTTATGCTTTTTTACATCTTGAACGTTATAGGATGTTCAGTCTTCGCCGCTAGAACTAATTGGACAAATCGTTTCGGGGAACGAACTGTCGCTAGCTACTGGTTATACTCCACTGCCACGTGATATCACAGTTCTACCTCAGGCAAAGTACGACTTGCTGTGTTGATTTTATAAAATCCTTACCTTTTTCTTGCTTAAACATAAATATCTTCAGTTTAGCTATCTATTCTACGTAGATGTTTCGCCATTTCTATCATCCCCGGCCATTATTCAATGTCAACTGGATGGGCGAAAATGTGAAACATGGCTCTCAAAGGTTTTTTTGAGTCTATCACCTTATAAAGGACCTCTTTTTTCATTTCCCACATTTTTTGCGCTACCCACTGTTTTTTTTTGTTTTTTAAAGGATCTCTGGCCCGGGACGAGGATCTATGCTGATCCTATCCACTTGCGGCTATTTTATACGGTTAGTTTCATGGGGAACGTGTTTAATTCCACATTAATTTCTGCAACATAGATATGAATAGGGACCTTTCTGTTTTAGTGTCCCAGTGGAATATGGTCTCGTGACGTCGGAGTGTCCTCATCCAGCGTTCGTCATCATTATGTCTCCTTGATTGCCAATGATTATTCAGTAGCACCATTGGATGAGAATAGAATACTAGTGGCGCAAATAGCATCCAAGTTAGTTAGTCTATCCATGCTACAGCTTCAGCTTAACTGTGTTCAATGCCAATTTGTGCTCCCGAAAACAATCCCGTTGATGGGTGATTGCTGATAGCGCCTATAAAGCACAGTTAGAGAAAGGCTAAACGCAGGATCCGCTGGTGTAGTGGTGAACGCGTTAGCCTCGGAAAGGGTAATAGCGAGGTCCAATCTCCGCTGCAGGCACCTGCGGTTCGGGGTTTTGCAAATATCTCAGTATCATTGCGGTTGTAGTTCACGTCATATCGTGTCTTGAAAAACAATAGGAAGCAACTAAAAAGTGGTTACATCCAAGTCGGTTTTTTCTGAAAATTCATAATTTTTTGAAGATACAAGTTTTGAAGAATGTGTAACTGTTTCAGCAATTCAACAATTATAGAACTTCCACAAAATACAACTATTAACCTTCCAAAATCCTCCGTTCTCCAAAGATTCGGTGAGATTTCAAAGCAGTGATTAAATCCATTCTTAAGTTATGACCCATTACAAGATCGTTGTTTGCACCCTTTTTATGCACCGCTCAACAAGTAGGTTGTTTTTGCAACTTAGCTGCGTTTTGACCTAAGTATTTTATACGTCTATGTTCCATTATTATCTTAAAATGTTTTTAGTTGGAATCTCTTCACGTGTTTGTCGTGAGACGAGTTGTTCACATCTTTGTCGTTTTCTTCGCGATTCCAAGCAGAAGTACGAGTGCATATGCCCGCTAGGGTATGCTATCAGCAGTGAAAAGTCGGTTTCCTATTACTGTTTCATCTTCTTAAAGGAAAGGCAAAATAGCCAAGGATAGTATTATTATATTAGTACTCCGACCAATGTGCAATAGGTTCTCCGTGTTCTTGTATTCGTGTAAGGTTGGACATTTTGTGCGTTCTTAGTTTTCCCCTGGGCGTGTCTGGCGCAATGATCGGAGGTGCTTTGCAATACACATAGGATCGATACCCACACCCAAGACTCCCCAAGCCTTTTCTCCGGGGTCGGCAAGTTGATACGAAACCTGTCTGGGAGGGCAGAACTATTGACTCAGTACATCGGTAGGCCACGACGAATCATTAGATAGACTAGCTATGCATTCAATCACCTCCAGTGGTGCTTAATGAAGTCGAATGCATGGCCCATTCCTCATGGATTGATCAATCTCGAGAGCTTTTTCTTATCCTTATGTTTCCAACTCTCTGTTTCTCTCTTGGTTGAAGTGGTCATTTTAATTGTTCTTTTACAGTCCATCGACGTGTCTTCCGAATGTTCCATGTCCTCGGTGGCAGTTTGCATGTGATGATCGGCAATCGTGCATTCACTCCTCGAAGAAGTGTGATCGTGTGCCAGATTGCGCGTTAGTTTGTTTGAACTTGCTGGATTTTGGAAACCTAGTTATAATTAACGCTTTCACGAAGAACCTCCTACTTTATAAAAGAGACTTTCCTCTATCCCATTAGTCTTATATACAGTCTTTACACAGTGCTCTTTCAAATTTGATATGTTCAGGATTTCAAATTTTCATGCAGAAGTTCAAGTTGTTGAAATCCTCAGCGAAAAGCAGCAACTCCAAGCGTAGACAGTACATTCAAATATGCTATTATTTCACATTAGATGAAATCCCACTTGGTCATTCGTTTTCATGAGTCGAAGCCTTGAAGCGAAAAAGTGGAACAGATATATGCCATACGTACTAAACGCCTTGCTAGAGCGGCCATTATGCCTTGTCTCGAATGTATGAGTAGGCTTACTTGAATACTTGGATGGCCTGTCTTCAGTGGTTGTGCGTACCCCAGCATAATTCCCATTCTCCAGGGATTGAAAAGCCGGACTTCTTCTCAGCTTGGCGACCATACCGGGGAGATGAATCCTCACGCTGTCCATCGAAGCCCGAGACTCAGGAACACCTCTCATCCACGACGAGGCGGCAAACTTTTGGGAAGAGGAGTAGGTTAGGTTCCAGGGAATCGAAATTTCATTGTGGTGGAGCATGAAAACCTCTATCCCGTAAGTAAAGATTCAAAATTTCACTGAGGAAGATCCGGCTCAATACGAAGATGAAGACCCCACGTCAAGGAAACGATTAGCCATGGACCATCGGCTCGGTTCATCGGCTCCGATGAATAGGAAGACGTCCAAACGTTAGCCGAACAAAAATCTAGCAACCCCTTGCAAGCTCATCGGGAAAAGATTACATGAAGATTCAAATACACCTGTGGTTTTATCGCATTTAATAGAATTCGTCATGAATTGGGATATGTTGATTTAAAGCTAAGTGCGACCATTTTTTTTTCTCGTGATATGTAGACGAAGACCTGCAATGAGGCGGTAAACCGTTGGGAGGTTTCCATTAATAATAGAGAGAAAACGTTGAAGTTTTAGAGATGGAAGTGATGAGTCGCCTTCCTTGTGCCGAAATGTGAATCCTGACCACTGGCCATGTGATGACGGAGCAAGTACAATACAACGGTCACTTGTACGTTTTGCTTATTTCATATACTGCTGTAACTTTCTACACTAATATTTTTTTTTCGAACTCGATCCTTGTTAATTATAAAAACTGCTATGCAGTTTAAGTATCTCGTTATTAAAGCAACTCATGTTTATTTCGCTCACGACAACTTCAATAAGTAGCATTTACCGCCGCCAAATTAAGCGTTATGTTTGCACTTTTAAAGCAGTCTCTCAATCTTTTCTTACTGCTTAGTACTGGGCAGCGGGTATAAAGGATAAAAAAATGGACCACTTTGTGTTAATCAATCCATGAGGGGTGCGCATACGACTTCACTAAGCATCGTTAGAGGTGATTGAATGCACATCTCGCGGTGATTTACCGATGTATCGAGCCAGTGCTGCTATACTCCAAGGCAGGTCTGGTACCAATCTACCGACCCCGGAGAGATGGAAGGCTTGGTCAACCTGGAGCCCGGGGATCGATCCCATATGCATTGCAGGGCGCCTCCAACCACTGCGCTACACGCACTTTGGGCATCGGGTATTCATTTTCAATATTGAAGCCAACAGTACACACCACCAATATTCTATCACCCTGTTAATTTCCAATCGGTACATGCCATATGCTTTTAGGCGGACCACCTCACAACGTTGAACCAATTGTTGAATTTTGAAGCGTTTTCAGAAAGGTCAACCTGTTTCTAAGCCCACCGATGTGCAAATGAGATGATGATTTTGTGTCGTCCACTCATATATAAAACTGATCAAATCATATTAATTTTTCCTTTCAGCTGTGCAATGGAGAAGTGGATTGTGAGGATGGATCAGATGAAAGGCATTGCAGGTATGCATACTTTTCTTTATAATAACTGAAAGGCAAAATTTAGCTTTTTCGCGGTGGAACCTTAACCGTAAAGCAGTGAAGTCCTATATGTAGTATATGGGAGCGGTCGAAAAGAATGCATGTGGTGCGATACTTTAATTTGTTGTATGTTCTTTTTTTCTGGCCATTGTTTTTCTTTTACAAGTCAGCGACAGCATAAGTAACAGGATCTGAATGAACTGTTAGAGCTGTCTTCTCCTGGATTTGACACAAGAGTACGGTCGACTGAACTGCTTTTACGGCTTGACAGAGATGATACCAATTTTCGACATCTAAGGATGAACTAGGAACGCAGATTGTTCAAAGCAGTGATTTTCTCGTTCTCTAGTTTTCGATACAGGAGTTCCCAAGTAATAAAGCGTGTCGTATTCTTGGCTGTTTGAAAGCCGTTGGTTCTTATCAAGGTATCGCGAACTGTTCGACTCAAGATACGTCATTGCTGTTTCTGTTGCGTAGTTTTCTTGAAAGATTAAGTTGTCTCTTTTCCACTCCAAGGAAGATTGCTTTCTTCAGAACGTCATCTTATTAGCCTTTTGGCGTTGTTTTCGACGCTTCACGAAAAGTTTTCGTATTTGACTCCTTTCCGGACCATCACTGCCTTTGGAATCAGGTATTTTGTGGCAAATTTTCCTCTTTGGGTTTGTTTCCTATCACCGTGCTAACCTTCTGAATGCCCTTCTGAAGAGTGTGAGAAATTTAAACTCTAAACAACCCCATCTGTTCACAAAACATCTTACCCACTGTTCACAAGGTTTTCGGCGAATTTTCATTTACTCAATTTATTCATCTTAGCTGAGCCAGTTAACTGTTATTCCTTATACAGGCAGTTGTTAGAGAGTCCATGTTTCTTTCTGGCGATCGATTATGAGACAGGTGGGCGAGGTATTCCATAACATTTAGCAGAGCAGTTTAGGCTAATGCTGTCATTTGTGCTTTCTCTTCTCTAGTTCCATAGATTCTTCTGCTATCTATCTTAAGACGGTGGCCTTATTTTCGCTTCACATCCTCGTTGTTTTGGTCTTTACTCATATTCATAATCATCTAAACAGTTCTCACTGCAAATTTAAACTTTTTTTCAATGTAAATGTTAGAAATAGAATGAACTGGCGTACAACTAGTTGCGCACAAATGAGTAGTTCGCGCTTTTCAACCGCTGAGAAGCTGCCTCAATCTCCCTGTTAAACTTTTTAGGTGCTTGTTTCCAGCGCTAGAACTGGATTGTAGCGCTTTCCCTTTGGTATCTGGAGGAGAGTGTATTAGGCGAAGGCTGATATGTGATGGTTTCCCTGATTGTGAGAGTGGAGTGGACGAAAATCCGAAGGTATTGTTCACGTTGCTTCTTTGAAGTTCTGTCTTAGCTACGTTTGTTTTTTGGATGTGTGCGAGTTATCACAACATTTCTGGTCGATTTCACTCATCTCCAGAATGGTTGTATATCCTTCTTCTGGGATGCATTATGCTTTTCTGCACAACTATAATTCTGTTCTGTTGTTTTCGGTAAGATTAGCAGCGCATTGCTCTGTAGTTCCTTTATTCTATCATGTGTCTACTGATTCTAACATTATTTTCCAGCAACTATCCAATTTGCTCTGTAAGCAGACCGGAGACAATGTCATCGATTCACCATCTCCGAAATTCAGGTGTAGCAGAGGCAAGCATTCTGCTGCCACCTCATACACAGATTGGCGCTCAAGTCGAAGTGAGTTATTATTTCTATCTATTCGAAACAGTTTTGATGAACAGGGGTACGCAGGTCAGTACATACGTTCCATGGCACATTACTTGTATACTTACTTGGATACTTACATGGCCCATCTTTACTGGTTACGCAGACTCCAGTATAATTTCCACTTTTCGGAGGTTTGATGGTTTAGCCACTGTGGTCCCCTGTAGTCCCGACGTCAGCCTAACCAATGTCTGGCCCAGCTCATCACCACCACAGGCAGTCGCCGCTCTAGTGGATTAGAGGAAGATTTGCCACCATGCGAGTTAGTTTGATGTCAGGACGGTGGTTGATGCTGGTATTGGTTTACTCTTAACTGGGCTTCCTGATGGAAACGCCGGTTTCCTTCTCGGCTTGGGAGGTTCTGCTGGGATGATGAATCTCCCTACTGTTCATCGCACCCCGATACTCAGGAACACCTCCCAATGATGAGGCAGTAAACCATTAGAAGGCTTACAACATATTTTGGCTTCTAAATCATTTATTTATGTTTAGATAGAGCTATGAAATCTTTTTATATAAAGTCTTGTAGTTAATGGAAGATTTATCAAACGTTTATCTAGAACCAACAATTCATCCTGTTAGCAGTGTTGAGGCTTCAGTAGTCAACTAGATATCGTTCGTTTCTTTTTTCTCTGAAAGACAACTTGAAGTTGAGTTAGTGAAATTCTAATTTCTAATTTAGCGTTATAGCGGATCTGTTGTTCTAATGTGTTTGAGTTCTTGTGTCTTGACCGTTTTTGCATTTTTTTTTGGAGATCTAATATCATTTCTATGCTGTATTTTTTAGCCTACGTAAAGAGTCAACAAAAATAACTGTTACAAGGAATTTTTCAATAATAATTCCGTCTATACTTTTAAAAAGATAGTGTTCAATCAGTAATAGACTTTGTCGATTGATATAGAGAAAGTAGTATTTGTCGATATTTGCCAACCAGAAGCTAAAGTTCTCTTGTTTTGCGGAGATCTAAGTCTGATTTTTTGTAGACCAAGAACCATTTAAGTTTTTTTTTCTCTGTTGGCGCTCATGTTCCAAATAATGAAGCAGTTTGTTAGCCGTCCAGCAGTAAACGATTATGTTCTACAATGCTTGTTTACTACGTATTATTGCGGCTGCTGGTCTTGGCTTGAAAGTTTTGAGACTACCTTATCTCAGTATTTTTAAGACCCATTTTGGAAACACTGAGGGTAAAATTGCAAACTGTAGAAGACTCTTAAGTACCCTGGTCTCAATTCGTTAAAGGTCATTGTGATTGAGTAAATTTTGGATAGAAATTGTCGATAAACCAGTACAGTTGCGAGTGTGTTAAACATTTTTTTCGGGGATAAATTCTGCTTTCTTGAGAATATCATTCAGGTATCATTACAAGCGTACTCGATGGCGACGTCAAACTCCTCCTATCCGGCACTACCGCCGCCGAATTCGACTCACTCACTGAGCAGGTCCAGTGACTCTCAGCAGCGATCCTTCATGAAAGACATTCCTCTGAATCGTTTCTACGCCCCACCACCAAGTGCGGCAAGGTGTGTTCGTTACTGTAGTCGTAGTGAAGGAGAGCGCAAGTTGTTTAATAGGTCATTCATTATCAGCACACGACACTAACCATTTGCTCATCTATTTTCAGAGCAGAGCGTGCGTGATTTGTTCATTGCCAGTTTGACGCTTTGAGTAATATAGCACGCATCAGTTAATGAAAGCTGAACATCGTACGGGTTATTTAGGAGGAACTTTATGTTGTTTACAGCTTATCCACCTATGGTATTGTGAAGCCAGCAGAAGTTCGATTTTCTACGATGAATAATAGGCAACGGCCGAAGCGAAAGAAGCTGTCAAGTCCGCCACCATGTTACACGAAGGTGTTTATGTTCAAAATTCTAGTTTACGATTGGTTTTGAAGTTTTATAGTTAATGAAAAGCTCAAGGAAGCCCAGTGTAAATTTTCTCTCGGCATTGCTAAACATAGTTTGCAAAAAAACGTGCACAGTTCCATTAATTTTACTTTCTATTCATCACTGATCTCTGTCACGTGAGAGACCTTAGGGAAATGTGAATAGCCTCGTAGAACTGATTTTATTAGTGTCCCTCAAACAAGAAAAGCCAACTAGGAAGCTGTGACGCAAGGCAAAGCGAATTCAGGCTGTAGTGACGCACTAGAGTAGCGCGGTGTTTAAGTGTAATGAAGACAAACAGTAAGTGGGACACTATACCAATCAGTTCTGATGCATGCATTGGACTTTAATTTAAAATACTAATGAATGTTTTTCCAAAGTTGGAGGACGCGGCAACAACTACATCAGTGTTGGAGATGATGGATTGTCATCCACAAATGAGTTCCACTCCGAAGTCACGCCATTGTTCTACACCACAGTCGTCATGTCATCAAGCGCTTACGTCGAGAGGAACTTCGTCACGGCTGCTGAATAGCGAGCACTTGGATCTGTTTCATCGATCCGTGTCATCCAGCTCCATGTCTAGCCATTCCAGTGATAATGCATCAAAATAACGAAAGGAAAGGAATAACTTTATTTCGACTACTTACATTATGTAAATGTGCAATATGTTTATCTATATGCTAATTTTTACTGCAGTTTGTGGGTTGAGGTACCAACGTTGCAAAACTAGGAGTCTTCTAAATATTGACTTCATATTTAGAATAGGAGAAAGATGCTGAAACACTGAAGTTTCTTATGAACATTTAATAGTCTTCGATCACCTGCATATATGTCAACCACAAGGCTGCTTACAAAATAACTAATGGGAAATATTCCTTGTCGAAACTGAGCCGTTTGTTCTCTGTCGTGATTCGATCGTATTTCACTAGTTATTACATCAGATTTTTTTGCATGTATCCTTATTATTACAGTACTTTATTGGTGATCTTTCACTTTATGCTACAGTGTTTCCCTCACTTTACTTCATTGGTCTGGCTTTGTTATACCTGCCACAATTCTATGTGATATTATTGATACACCGGTGGATTCTTTAAATAGTAATTCCTAAATTATGTATATTCATCTGCATTATATAATCTTATCCGTTAAAACAATGAGATCTGCTAGTTTGTACATTTGTCCCTTTCCCTTTAGTGTAATCTTTCAGCTATGCTTGCATTGCCATTCTTTGTGAAATACAGTAACGACCTAATAAAAATTTTCGTTATTTGCAACAGCAACGATTTGATGGGCGATGTTGAAATAAGGATAAGGGAAAATTTTAGAAAAGTGAAGGCAAGGAGTCTGATAGAAGAGTCTGGTCTTTATTTGGAGTACGAAGTGAGCTCATTGCCTTCAAAAATGGCGTCTAAACGAAGAACTAATCATTAAACGGTTGTGAAGCGAAGTGAGCACAAGAATAACTCAAGAATGTGGCATAGTGTAAGGATACAACACTGGTACGAATAAGTCACCATTTCGAACACTTTCACTAGCCATCTTCTCGTCCTTTGTTTGCTTTGCCTTCGTTTTGATCAAATCTCAATGTCTTTAAGTGTTCGCAAATGTCCTTTCTTCGAAGCTTTTATCATTGACTGTTCTTCATGTTTATTGACTCTGAAAGCCTCGAAGATGGAAGTTTTCTTCTGAACGCATCACTAGATCAATTTCATTTCGTAATCCAAACATTTCTTATACGACTCTTCTTCACATTTACTGTTCGGATTCCAGCATTTCTTGAATTCGATTCGTTTCCTCGCATGCATCATCCACTATGGTTTTCGAACTTTTGCGTGTGTTTGGCGGTTGCTTGAGGATTGTTGTCTTGTGAGTGTCATCGAATGCCGGTTGCATCGATTTTCCGAGGAGTCATGAGATAGCAGTGCTAGAGTGTTCTCGTGATTTTGAGAGAGTGAGATTGTCTCTGATTAACCTGGCACCATTTTCCCCACCCCAGCTTACAAGGAGTTTGACGGGCTAGATGAGAGCTTGATCCAGCACCGTGCTCGCAATGAACACTGTCACTACCGCTGGGCTATCCCTCCCGTCAGTAATTCCAATAATCGGATACATGTCATCGTAACTGTTCATTTCGTGCAGAAAATTTCTTAGGAAGGTTCACGGGCACATTAAACGTCATTCTGTAGTACCAGCTGCACATCAATGTTTTAAAGAGAAAAACTATAAGAAATTCAGTGTCAGTTGTATTGGGTCACAGTTAATAAATTATCTATCGGTCAAAGTGCAATTTCATAATGCAGTACACAATTTGCAATTTAAGCTCTCATTGATCTTTCTTTGCATTGATCAATCCCTGAGGGATGCACCGTGCATTCGACTTCATCAATCATCGATTAGAGGTGACTGAATGCATATCTGGCCTTTACAATGACTCGCGGTGGTCTATCGATGTGTCGAGCTAGTTCTGCGGTCCTTCCAGACAAATCTGGTACCAATTTGCTGACGCCGGAATGATAAAAGGCTTGGAGGGTCATGTGCGCGGGGATCGATCTCATGTTTGTGTTGCAGGGCGCCTCCGATCACTGCGCCACACGCGCCTTGCAAAGTCATTAGCATAGATATTAAATTTGATTATGAAGAAATCAACGCCACCTGAACTTTTGAATCATTAGCGTTTCTCAGCTTCAACAGTTATATTCGATGGACTACTCTTGAACCTTTAGTATGTCCACCGTTGTTTTATGTTTTGCCAGTGCCATACATAAGAGTGGTTACTTGCATCTGTACTTATTGACTTAATGGTTAAATGTGGCACAAAATTGTGTTCATATTGATATACACGAAATAATCATGCACGAGTCATCCTATAAAGATGTGATCTGTCACTAGAATAAAAAGAATTTATGTATTTTCAACTTGGATACGGATTGGTCCGATAGCGAGGGAATGAGGCTTTACAACAGATCTCTTCAACAACAAGCAAAGCCAATGCCACAAATGACTCGATCCTCAGAGGTGAAAAGAAGCATTTTGTGAAGGTCACGCACAGTTTTTCACCAGTGCAGCTCAACAGGAACAAAAGCTTACCGGACAGGTGGAACTGGAAAAACCGCTGTTGTCTTGCATCTGGATGAGAAATTGGGCGTATTTCTTGCTATATGAATATTCAAGTTACTGTTCAGGTGCGAGTGATTTCTGGTCTCACGATCGACAGTCTGTTCTTTGCTAGCAAAGGTATTCCTTATATTTTCGAGATTTTACCACTCTTCAAACGGGTTTGTAGCACTCTTTTTTTAGCCCGCTTCTTGCTTCTTGAAGTATTTTGACTTTTTTCGTCTTTTTCACTTATAATATGATTTCGTCAGCTAAGATGAAATTTTGAAAGAATAACTCCTTAACAATTACCTTTGTCCTTTCTCATAAGAGATACTTTTATATGGCAGTAGTAATGGTAGTATTGGTCTGCGTTAGAAAGTGACGTTTACTGATGCGCATCGACAAACAGTGATGTCTCGCATACGGCCTCGCTGAGAATATACACTGACGAAGTCGATATCCCACGACTCACGGCAGAAGAAATGAGATCTGCTCAATGTACAGTAACAGTTTTCGAGAACGAATGCAGCCTAGATCCATCCAGATCTGTGCATTTATGGGTCAAGAAATTAACAGCAAGAAAAAGAATCAGAACGAAGTGTAAGCAGCGCTGGTTAAAGTGTGATTTTCCTCTCAGGTTCTCCACTTTCCACATGTGAAAAAGAATATCACGGAGCTAGTGAATGTTCGCCTAATAAACCGACCGCAGTAGAGGTAATTTTGTATCTCATGTCCACTTCTCTTTCTCAAAAAGACAACCCTGTAGATAGCCAAATAAATTATTTTTCAGTTGCTCAGACAGACTTGTTCTATGAGATGGGAAGGATGTCAACCAATTCCAAATTTGAATATAAAAAGAGCAATATTAATCATCAATAGCTGCTGATAGAAGATAAAAGTGAAAACTCTCGGCGTTGATCAATTCCTGAGGGATAAGCCATACATTCGACTTCCTTAAGCGTCGTTTGGAGGTGATTTAATGCATACTTGGCCTTTACAATGACTCGTGGTGGCCTACCGATGCATCGAGCCAGTGCTCCTCTCCTCCCAGACAAGTCTGGTAACAATTTGCTAACTCCGGTGGGATCGAAGGCTTTGTGAGCCATGGGTGCGGGGATCAATCCCACATGTGTGTTCCAGGGCGCCTCCGACCGCTGCGCCGCACGATAGCTGTTGATAAAGGATAAAAATCGTTAGTTGCAGTTTAATAAAATACATGTCAATTTTTAGAAAAGCTGCTATTGATGATAAGACTATCACTATTGATCCGCATATGGCCCGAGAATAGGAGAGTGAAAATAATGAAGTGATGGATTCTTTACCTTTAAAAACAAATTTGAGGTGTTTCTTTTTCAGAAGAGTAGTTATATGCGAGTACAAACTTCGTTACGGGATGACCCACAGATTTCCACACTTCCATTCGTCTAATTTTTCTCGACTTTTTCAATATACCGTAAATTCCCACCTACTCCATTGAGAGGTGTGCGTGATGAGCAGGTGCCATAGTTTAGTCGTTTCCGGAGCAGGCGCTCATTTGGAACATGCTCTATTGAATATTGGTGGCAACGATGGAAATCTCGTCGTCTTTCGTCGTTGTAGCGAGTTCGGTAGTTATTTCGGCAGAAGAGCACAATTTCCTCTGGATAACTAGGTTGTCATCTCGGTCTCAACGGGCTCCTTTTCTGATGACTTTACAGAGATTTCTCATCCTGCATTTAATATTTCTTATACCACTCTATCTACTCATGTAGCACAATGGAGGTATCCAGCAATACACAAGTGGTCATTGGTTCAATCACGCAGTGCTGAATGGTCTCCTAAATCCAAATCGTTCTTTCAATCGTGCTTAATCCAAGATGTACTTGCATTGAAAATCAGATAAACGATTCTTAACATACAGGCGAGATGCCTAATATTCCACCACCAATGCTGTCAGTTGTGCCAACTGTTCGCCTACTCACATGCGGGTTCAGATCAGCTCATGTCGTCCACTGCGCCACACTCAAAAAATTCCAAAAATATTCGTTAGTCAGTACGAACAGAAGCATTGCAATGGCATGCTATGCAAATATCGGAGATAAATGGTTTCCAAGACTATGTTAATCGTGTTTTGGCAGATGTTAACGATAATTAAGTAAGTCCTGTCTAGCAAATGCGCATAAAGCTCACTTAGTTAAGTGAGAGCACCAGAGGCATTCGCGAACATTTAAAACAGACCCTATCACAAGCATGAATTCCAACGCACGGATGTAAAATTGTTTTTAGTGGAAACGTGCCGTGCGGTTTGATGATTCGTGCACCCACATTGGGGAATCAGTTCGAAAAGAGATTTTCTTGGAACCAGCCTATGGCGGAGATCATGGCGAATCCCACTGTGAATCCTGAGTATTCTACACTGCTGTCTGATACCCAAGAATCTATATGAGGGCCATCATG